GGGGGGGGGGGGGGGGTGTGACGAAAGACGGTGACTCATGGACAATAAAAAGACATGCAAGTGGTTGGTTTCGTAGCAAATATATAGGTGACAAGAGGGTGGGAAAACGGGACAAAATATTAGTTTGGGGTGGGGTTACAAGAAGATAGACCTGGACGATTTTTCGGTGCGTGCACGAGGGAGGGAGTGAACTCTTAGTCGTGCATGCCGTGGTCGTTAGACCATTGACCTCGCATCCCTACCAAGCCGGGACGGAGCACGTCGACTTTTTCACCGGACGAGTGTTTCACGGGACCAGGCTAGACATAGCACATCACCAAGCGCGGGGGCGATAGAATAGGGGGGGGCGACGAAGACGGTGACTAGTGGGTGAGGGAGGGATACGCGAGGGGTTGGTTTTCGCGGTGAACATGAAGAATAGCACGATTTTGTTTCGAAAACATTCTTGTTGCAATTTTAATGGTACAAGACGGCACGAAGCGAAGAACATTGTAAAGGGGTTGACGGATACGTTTGACTCCAAGACAATATATGCGACAAGAGTGAAAAATATTCTCTTGATTCAAGATCAGCACACACCAATTGGAGTGAAAAGTGAAGTGAAAGTGGATGTGTCCCAACACAACATGTGAAATGCAAGGATCGTCCCCATGTCGTATTAGTTACTCCGTTTGCAAGACGCTTGTGTGAAACACTAGAGCTGAGATCGTGAAAGTTTGATCATGAGCGACCAAGGCACCGAAATCGACTGGAAAGGGAATGAAGTGGTTTCGTTCGTCAATGAAGCGTGACAGACCCCCACACCCCAACGGAACTCTGTTACATTCGACGGTGCTGTTGTGGTGGTTCCTCCAACAGTCGGCGACGGACAGAGTAATCGGGGGCCTGGAGTCCAACAAGCTGATCATGCCGGAGGAAAAGAGGATAGTGGCGTACCACGAAGCCGGACACGCGGTCGCCGGGTGGAACCTGGAGCATGCAGACCCGCTCATGAAGGTAGGTTTCGGCCATGCCTCCTGGATGCCCGGAAGTTCTTCGCCGCCCCCGCTCCCAGCGCGCGAGCACTGCTGTTGTTATTTATGGAGGCGGTGCTGGACATGTGTTGGTTCTTTGGTCTACGTTGTTGGTAGTAGTTCCGGCCCGCACAATGTAGCGCGCACGGAATGAAAACTACAGGAAGCGCTGCCAGTAGTGAGTAGACATCCCGAAAGTGACTTCATCGGTTTTGATGGAATGGGACTCTGGCCTGAGCACTCTGTGGTAAGCTTGAATTCTTAGGTTTCGACCATTTGAGACACTGAAGTTCATTTTACTCCCTCGTTGTTCTTAGAGGGCTGGCACGTTCGTGCTCTTATCTCTTGGGGACTGTAGTTTTCGAGTGAAGGTTGAGAAAAGGGGGAGGGGTTGTTCGGGCGTAATCCGTGTCGTGAAGCTTTTTTTTCTGTTTCGGTCAGGGCGTCCGTCGTACGTACGGTGATATCGGGGTTTGGCGGAAGCGTTGCGGTTGTCGTTGTTGTCATTGTTCACGGTGAGAAACACGCCGACGTGCACGGGTCAAATGTTTTCCAACCGCGACGTCCCTTTCTGCGACATGGGTGTTCAAGTTGTTGCCTGCTGATACCCTTGGCTTTCTGTTGGTCCGTAGTCGTAGATTGTGGACATGAAACGATTCTGTCGTGAGCACTCTGTTGGTGTTGCTGGTTGTGTCGGTTCTGGTGGTGGTGTTTGTGTCGTGATACCGACGACGGCCAGGACCAGACAAAGGGGTCACGGTGGTTAGTTCCCCTCTCCCCTTCCACTGAACCTTCTTGTGAACCTTGCACTGAACTTGCTATTGAACCTTGTTCTCGACCTTTTGTTGAATTTCTACTGAAGCTGTATGTTACCCTGCCTGCCGATGCTCTCTCCTTTCCGGATTCCCTCATCTGTCTGTCTTTTCTGTTTCTCGCTCGCATCGGCGCACAGGTGACCATCGTGCCGAGGGGATCGAGCACGCTGGGCTACGCACAATACCTGCCTAAGGAGGTCAGTCACTACAGTACACCAACCCAAACCGGCAGACAAAGGCACAGACATTGGGTGGAGTAATTTCGTTTTTTCAGTGATGGCGGGAGACCTCGTGACTTTTTTTTGTGCGTAGAACAGGTAAAAGACAGACAAAAGGACCACAAGAATTATCGTCATTCATGCTTTTTGTTCCAAATGTTTTTCAACCCCTCTGAGTGATGATGACTAGGGGAGATAATTTTTGAGCCACCTTTGGCAAAGTAGAAAGGAACGATTGGCCATTGGTGATCGGTCCTGTGGGAACAATGCTCCGTCCTCTCGAGGGCGCGTGGCCAATGGTCTAAACGCTAAGGCATGCAAAACATAAGAGTACGCCCCCACTGAGTGTTTATCTTGGTGGTGAACGGTGCTCGTGGAAAAGGTGTAGCCATCCAGAGGGTAATCACTCCGGTCGATGCCCACCATCGGTCTGTTCGGGAAAGGCCTCGGTGTTGACTACGGCGTTGACGAAGCGCGCGCGTAATGTTTCTTTGATTAATTAGGTAGATCTACAACCAGTCCTACGGGTGCCAAATCTTTTTTTTTTTTTTACTTGTATCCCACGGAAGGAGTCCACGTCAGTCGGACCGGTACGGAATCTAGAATGTTCTAGAACGGAACGGTTTCTGTTGTGAAGACAACAACACCACCGAAAACCTTGCTTTTTCTTGGACGCGTTTGTCTCCGCCTGCTGTAAACGGTAGCACGCAGAAAGGACCCCTCAGCAGTCCATGCCTTCGTTGCTAATCCCGGGAGAAGTAAAGCAGTCACAACAAACCTATCTCTACCCACAGATGAGAGCCCAGGATTGCCATTGCCTTAGACGCGCCCATTGTGTGTTGTTGCGCTCACTAATGGGAATACGTCAGTGCCAGAGGTCACGTGCGCTCAGGGTCGCTGGATCGGGCCCAATGCTCGAAAAACGCGCAATGCGGTGAAAGTATGTGGGCGTGTTTTGCTTCTCTGTGACGTATCACCCATCATCGTTGACTTTTTTTTTTTGTCTTTTCGCGTGTGGTGTCCAGGTGTTCCTCCGCACCCGTGAGCAGATCACGGACATCATCTGCATGGCTCTCGCCGGGAGAGCTAGCGAGCAGGTCCACTTTGGGGATGTGAGTTTCCGAAAACAAAATCGTCGGGATTTTTTTTTGTTCTTCTCTTGTTGTGTTTTCGGACGCGTTGATGTTGCCGAAGATGAGGCAGTCCTTTCTCACAACTTGGTGGGGAACTTTTGTGTTGATGAGATGCGCGACCGCAGGAACCCTCTGCTCGGTTATTGTTGCTCGGAAGTCTGGACTATGGCTCCTCACGTACTCGGAAGAACGAACGTGCTGGGATTCAACGACGGTGTGTGGGTAACGTTTGCTGCTGACCTGCACATGTGCACGCGTGGGCTCAAGTGGTGCACAATTTTTTTCACTTTTTCCTGGACCCGGTGTCGTATCATCTCTTCACAAACCCCTGTGTAAATGGAAGGGTTCTTTGCGTCAAACGACGCGTCTTGACGAGCAGAGTCACAGCGCCAAGGGCCAAACCTCTGTATCTACGATACGATTGGAAACAGACGCATGTGGTGTTGACAGTATGCTGGAGATAGACATGTGGTCGGTTTGGGGGAACTGGTTGCGTTTTGTGATGGGAGACCGAAACCGTTTCGTTCTGGGAGTGGTTGTGAGCAATTCCGTCCCATGCTCCCCTGTTTCTCCTCTTCTTTTTTTTTGTCTTTTTCCTTCTCTTGGAAAATGTTCGAGCAATTCCGTCACATGTCTTCCTGAAGCTTTTGTAATTTCTTTATATTTTTCCGCTCCTTTTCGAAAAGGTGACGACGGGGGCGTCGGACGATCTTCGAAGAGTAACGGCCATGGTCTACCAAATGATCGGGGTGTACGGCATGGGAGACGGCATCGGGCAGCTGGCCTTCCCGCAGGAGAATGGCGGCGGCGGGTTCCCCCAAGAGAGGTGAGGGAGGCGTATTTACTTGGCTGCTTTTTCGGCTTTGCTGATTGGTTGTTTTCAGGGGGCGGTTGTGGTTTCGTGGAGAAAACTTGGCGCGTCGTCGCGCTAGTTTGTGTTGTGGGGGAGGGGGGAGGGGGGGGGGACTCATAATCG